GGAACGGCGGGCGGTGCCGGGTCCCGCCGTGCGCGGGAGTCGCACCTGCGGCTGCTCCCCGAGCATCCCCCGGCAGAGTGAATGGGTCCCGGCAGTTTCACGCCTCTGCTCGCTTCGCTTTGAGACTGCGTTGTAGAAAACTACAGTAGCAGGGCGAGGAGTGTGGTGTAGTCCCGGCTGCTCATTTGTCCTCCCCAAAACCTCTGAGCAAACCTTGTGCAAGTCTTACTCATTCGCTAACTTAGTTTCTCGAAGCGACAAAACCAGTTGCAAGGTTAGAAAATGTTCTGCAGGCAGCAGTCACGTGTCAGGGGGACTGGATGGGGTGCGTAAAACTTTTCTACCTCCTACCTAGTGTTCAGTGGCTAAGAGTAGATGTTTGGCCTGACTCTTCTGCTCTTGGACTTGAAAGCGGTCAGGAACTTGTAGACAGGCCACCTGTGGTGGTCGTGGTTTGTGCTGGCCCACGAACTCATGCTTGTGCTGCTCTGTGAGCTAGTTTTCTCCTTTCTCCTTCCCTCCCTTTCTGCTGCCCCGTTGTTCCTGCCATGGTGTTTAGGCCTTTGTATCCTTCTGTGTCTGCTTCTCAGTGTGCAGGTCTAGCTATGGTTAATTTAAGTAATAGCTATGTTGTTATTTTTTTTTTCTTTTCCCCGCAAGGTTTGTTGATTAACTCAATCTTTCGGAAACCCATGGTTTAACCATTTTTATTGGGTTATCCATCTCATGGACCACCTGAGCCAATTGATCTGATAGCCCAGTGATCACTAGATTTTTGTAAGAGGAGGGTGCTGGGAGATGCGCTTGGAGAAGGGGAGAGGGTGTAATCCATGCTGTTTTGTGTGGGAATAGCCTGGTTTTGGATCAGATTTCACTAACACGGAGCTGCATCCTTAGATGAACTTGCCTGGGGAAATACTGTGCCTTTTCACTTTTGTATTTGGAAAGGGTTTTGCTGGATAATCCTCCTTGCTGTGTGTGACTTAAAATTCTTACCACCCTTCTGCCAAGGGAGGTATCTGTGCCCCCAAAAGGCCCTCTGCCTACACAGAGACCAATATTTTTTGATGCCTCTCATGCCAGAGGTGGGATTTCAAGTAGGATGCTGTTTGGGCTAGGACCTGATTTTAAGAAGATCTAGATCGATGTGAAACCCTCAAAAATGCTGGAAAACTTAAGAATCCATGGTGCTGTTTACTGAGGAAAGACAGGTTGGTGGAGCAGAGCACCAAGTCAGAAGCCAGGTTTCTCCTTCTGGTGTGGCTGTTGGGTGTAAGGGTGTGTGCTACGGCTAAGCTGAAACTTCCTTATCTCCTCTCTCTCATGCTTGTGGCATCACAGGTGAGCTAATTTAACTCACTGATCTGGCAGAAAATTATATTTAGGGTAGCTTTTCTGCAAAGTTAACAAGTTGATCTAGGGAGCACCAAAAGTGAGGCAAATGCTGGGAGGAACCTGCACAAGGAGGCTGAGGGTGGGCACAGAACAGAAATAGTCTCCTGATAGTAGCTGAGCTACTAGATGACATGGTGTGATATGTGTAGCTTCACTCTAACTTGCATTTTAACCCCATGCGAAATACTTCATTTATCTACCACAGTTTCTTTCAAAAATATTCTCTCCCTTCTCAATTTTATTTATTTTCAGGCTTCATTTACTTTTTGTGGTGCTGCCCCCTGGGAATATCTTTAAGGCTATTGTCTTCTCCAGAGCTTTTGTGTTCTAGATGGACTTATTGACCAACTGTTTCTAGCTGTAAGAGTTGTGCGTGAAGACAGTAGGGACTAGTTAGGCGGGTGTATGTCTCAGTTGAGGAGAAGACGGCTGCAGAGTGGAATTATGACCCCACTGCTGAAGCAGTGCAGGAAGCTAGTGTTGGAATAGCAGGGAGATGCCTGAGCAGGACTTGAGGGCAGAAGTAAAGATGTGTGGGGAAGACAGCACTGGAGCAGCAGCTATCTGCTTGTCGATTATAGAATCTTCCAGATTTTGGGGAGCTGGTTTGGAGCAGCAGTTCCCTGATTTAGCCAGCCATCCTTTGCAGTGTTCATGCTGTTACCCTACTTTAAAGTCATCTGCTACCCTTAACACCATGAACAGAATTTAAAAAGTTGTCTGGTTGAGACTATTGTTGTGGTTCCTTTTCTGTTGTGCTGGTCTGTTTGTTTATCCACCTGGAAAAAGTTGTGTTTGGTGAAGGCTTTGAAGCTCAAAGTCTCTGGATTTGGAAAGGTCTACACAGGGGCTGTGGGGACCTCGAAGGCTAAGGGTCCCATTTATATTTTGCAGGGGAGCCAGCTGGTGGTTTGGAAACAAGCAGGCTGTTGGTGATGTTGAGACTATCAAAGTCTTTTTTTCTTTCTAATCTTAGGAAGAATGATATCCTTTTAAAAAGTCAGCATTTTCAGAGGAGTTGTTGAATAATCATTTTCGCACTTTCCCTTTTCTGACTCTAAGCCCTCCTACTGTTACTCCCTGTGTAGCCCATGTTTCTTGCTGCACAAAACTTTCTGATCATCCCAATACATTACTCTTCTGCTAAGCACTCTCTTCAGTCTCACTTCTCTTCCTCTTGGCTGATGAAAGCCTTCTCCAGTCCTTCCTCAATCCTGTGGTTCACTGCAACTCATCATTCTGCTGCTGGAAGATCTCTCTGGCTCTGCAATGACCTCTTTAGCAGCTTTCCCCTTACAAGTGTTGCCAGTGAACCCTTCATCCACTCTGCTTCTGACTCCATCCCTCCTGAAAGCAACTTGCCACCACAGATACCACATTCCAGTCTAATATCAAAGTCCTCGTCTGTTGGGAGCAACAAGTAGCTGGAAAATCCATGTGATCAGAGAAGGGAAGAAAGAGTTGAGGGCTGGGGGCTAAACTGGGAGAAGGAGGAACCAAGCCGGTATTTCTGCAGTAGGGCAGCAGAGTTGTGGGATAATTATACCTCTTATGGGCCTGGAGGAAGAGAGGATCAGAAGTTGCCAAAGTGCAGTGAGAGACTGTTACTTAAGTTCACTAGCCTCTCTTGAAGGAGAGGTCATCAGGTCTGGAGCCAAATGATTGTCTGAATGAGCTGCAGCCTCTCCTTCACTCTTGTGCCTTTTTAAGAGTTCAGGATGCTGTAGCTTCCAACTGTGGCACAGCAATAAAAATATGAGAATGTGGGCATTACATTTCTGACTGAATTAATAAAAGATGGAAATCGTGAGTATAATTCCTGGGTAATTTCAGAGCCCTGGCATCCCTGGTCCTCTGATGTAGCAGAGCTGTGCAAGAAGCCTGGTACTGGGATATTCCAGTAAAAAAAGGTGTGTGTGATGCAGTGAAATAAGGTTTGGTTCTTTCTCTAGCCTTAGTTTCCAATTCTTTCGATGTAGATCTGGAGTCCGTCTCAGCCTGAGCTCCTGGGATCCTGTCACCATGGAGACTGAAAGTGAGCAGAACTCCAGCTCCACCAGCGGGAGCTCCAGTTCTGGAGGAAGCACCCGTCCTCAGATATCACAGATGTCTCTCTATGAGCGACAGGCAGTACAGGTGAGACACTGTTATGTTCCGGGATGGCACGTGCATCAGTGGAAGGTGGTGGTGAGCCTTTTCTTGTTCCTCTGAGTTATCATGTGTCAAGGTGGGAGTGTGCTTGAAGGACCGTCATGTTTGCAGATTGAGAAATTCTTGTGCTGGGCCCAATGGTTAGTTCCTGTAGCCTGATACTGTGCTTCATGTTTTATAGGTTACTCCACCAGTGTCCAGCCTCTTATATTTAATGCATACTGTGATCCAGTAGATTGATTTTAGCCTGCTATTTTAGAGCAAATCATTCAGTTTATCATCTGAGTTCCTCTATACAGTGTATATCCTCTGTATACATCCCATACTGGAACGCTTGTCTGTCTGCTTGAGCACACACATCCCAGATACCTGGAAATTTATTAAAGTCTTGCAAATGTGCTTCCCTCTGTCCTGAAATACACCTGTGATTGTTACCAAGTTTGTAGCTGTACTATGTATTTTGATGTGCTAATCTTGTGACTTTGCTTTTTTCATGGAGTCTAGGGATGGTCTCAGGGCTGTCATGTCTTCTTTGCTCTCTCTAATTGCATTTCAAGGGCACGCTATTTTTGACAATTGGGTTTTCCTCTTTCTCTAGGCCCTGCAGGCACTCCAAAGACAGCCCAATGCAGCCCAGTACTTTCATCAGTTCATGCTCCAGCAGCAGCTTAACAGTGCCCAGCTTCACAGCCTGGCTGCTGTGCAGCAGGTGAGTTGCCAAGGGGCAGAAGGAGAGCAATTGGATTGTTCTCTGGGGAATATCCAGAGATTCTCTCCTTATGAAGTGACTTGTGCACCGAGGTCATCCTGATCCATTATGAGACAATGAGTCCCTAAACGCATTGTCTAAAGCTACTAAAACGAGCTAGTAAACTAGAATAGAAGCCTGATGCAAAGATTTGTTTGGTTTTCAGGTACAGAGCAGGGGAAGACAAAATTTGCCATCCCCATGGCAACGCCCCACTGCACTTCAGAGGCCTATGGCTAGCCTCTGCACCTTCTTTAAATAAAAGAAGGGTGGTTAAATCAGCAGTGGATGCAGTAGTGTTTAAAAACTGTATTAAAGTAAACTGTGGATTGTTACTTCTCTGAGAATAAACATGGTCTTGTGTGCATGACATTTCAGGTGGTATCCTCTGAATTTTCTGTCTTGAAACTTAGTGGCCCATGTTTTCTTTACCAGTTACTAGCAAGAGGGATCTGGGGTAAATCTTGTCTGTCCAGGAGGGTGTTTCTTTGAGATATGTTTATACAAATTGGGATGTTTTTTTTCTATGTGTAATTGTTGAGTGGGTTTTTTTTAGCAATTTTGCTCACCTACCAGATTTTATCATCAGTTGAAGATGGATTATGTATGATGTGACTACAGTTCTGTCTTTGTAACAATATCTCCACCAGCAGCTGTCCTCCTTGGCTGTTAGTCCAGCATTTAGTTGTTCTCAAAATCTCTACCTGCAGTTTTATAACATAGAGGGAATAGAATCCTCTCACCAGTTTTGCACAAATCTTAGTTATAAAACTAACTAAACTCGTACAGTGGAATTCCCATGGGATCATAGGGGGGGAGGGAGGCGGGGAAACCAATATTTACATTCCTCCATGAACCATATGTGCTGTAATCTGAAATTTGTTACTTGGAGTGCTATCATTACATTGCTACTAAACTGCCTAACTAGCCCAGAAAATTGCTAATATTGCAGGGAACATTGGGGTGTTAACAGTGGATTTTCAGCATAGGGATGAGGGTTGCAGTGTGTAGCATGGCAGGCTAGGGCAATGGTAGGGTGTATACCCACAGGTGGAAGGACTGGAGGTCCTTTGGTGGACGTATGGAGGACATAAGGGTCTGTTGTCCACTGCCTTGGGTAGTGTGTAGGACTGAACTGGCTGGGGAAGAGGAGGCACGTTGCTGCACCTGATTTGTAGGTCACAGCAGAGATTTGCAGTGGTTAGATTGTGCTCCTGTTCTCTAGAATGGAAGATGATGATAATGATGATGGGACTAGGTGTTCTGACAAAGTCAACTATTTGGGCTGGGTTGAAAAGTTTGTTCCAGGTACTCATTTCTCTGTCAATCTCTCCTGCAGGCTACAATCGCAGCCAGTAGACAGGCCAGCTCCCCCAACACCAGCACCTCGCAACAGACCACCACCACCCAGGCTTCTGTAAGTAACTGCTCCCTCACACACATATCAAAGCCTCACTCCCACCCTCTGCCTTGTTCTTTCTCCTCTTTGTTTTTTAGGAAGGCAGTCAGACAGGGAAACGCAGCTTCTAAGAAGGCTGGGAATCCACAAGATGCAGACAGCTTTGAGGATTTGGGGTGCTGTCATTATTGGTGGGGGTTGAGGAGACCAGAGAAGGTTTCTGAGTGAGAGAGGCCTCTCAGTTGGAAGGATGGACACTGATCTCTCTTTGCTGAGGCTTTGAGGATATGTTGTATGGATTTGAAAAGGATCAAGACTTTTAAGAAGGAGGAGTCATGAGCAACTTGAAAGGGAATACTCTTTATTTTTTTTTCTTGGTCGCAGTAGTAGTTTGTTGTATGAGGAGTCTGGTTTTGTAGTGAGTATTGAGGAACTGGGATTTGTTCAGAGTAGATGAGTTGGTAGGGTAAAGGTTACTTTGTGGGGTTTTTGTCCTTTTCTTGAGAGGCTGGAAAAAAGTATGTATGTATTTTGGATCTCTTACTGCAGTTGCATGCTAAAAGGGATATTCAGGCTCAGCATACAAATGAGGTTAGCATCCAGAGCTTTGGCTAGTTTAGATTGTGTAGCCTCTAACACAAATACTTTTTTCTTCTTGGTCCCCTGTGGGATACAGGAAAAAAATGTAAAATCTCTGTTCTGGCTGTACCTCAGTAAGTGAATTTGTATTTGTTTATTTGCCTCCATCTCTCCATATATGATCTGGGGCTTTTCTCTGTTTTAAGATCAACTTAGCCACCACATCAGCTGCTCAGCTGATCAGTCGGTCACAGAGCGTGAGCTCCCCCAGCGCCACAACCCTGACACAGTCTGTCCTCCTTGGGAATACCACCTCACCACCCCTCAACCAGTCGCAGGCCCAGATGTATCTCCGGGTAAGAGATGTGTACGCAGAATGTGTGCTGACTGTGAATCCCACTTCCTAGCCACTTCACTGTTTCACTGCTTGGGATTACCAACACCTTTAGGCTACCTCTATCTTTAAGGATGACACTGTATTTTAAATTCAGATGGGGAAGCTCTTGTCTCTGAAACCCCAAGTTTAACTCTGGGCTCAGCTGAGGGTAGATGAGCTTTGTATTGTGTGGCTCAGGTGAGATTAAGAACTATGTTTGTCTCTGCATAGATGTTAAAGATCCCATGGCACTTCTTACTAGAGTGTAAATGTGAAAGAGATGTCCTAGACTTGAATATAGCTCACAGAAATAAAGCTACTCTTCTAGTTCAGTGCTAGAACAGATATATGGTAAATTACTCTCCTACCATTGCTGACCTCAGTCAGAATTCAAGTAAGTCTAGAAACATAAATGAACATGAACAAATGTGTCATCCTTTTAATTGCTTTCAACTGCCACTAAATAGAAGACTTTAGGCTTGGCTATATAGTCAGTCTGGGGTTTAGTTACCTACTTGAAAAATATTTTCTGCGTCACTTTAGATACAGACTGTAATCCCCTTCTTTTCAAGCAAGCCTGGCCTTAGATGTATGTCTTTTATCACTGTTTCTCAACCAGTCCCAGATATACATCTGAAAAATCAGTGATAGCCCAGACTTTTAGCCAGCACAGGGCAATCTGTGCGAGCTGGCCCAGGCCCATGTTTAATAGAAGAGTGTTTGTTTCTGTAAGGCAACTGTTCCCAGTTTTCTGCTCCTGAGGGTTATGTTCAGTGTTACAGTGCAGGGAGGGTTGGGGGTTTTGCAATGTGTCATATTGCAGCCCAGTGTTGCTTTGTAATCTGTTTGCTTGTGGTTCGTTGTCTGTCTTTCTCTCTTCCTCTCCGTTCCTCTCATTCCACATCACCCGACCCTCCCTCAACAGCCACAGCTGGGGAACCTGTTGCAGGTAAACCGGACCTTGGGCCGCAATGTGCCTCTTGCCTCCCAACTCATCCTGATGCCCAACGGGGCTGTGGCCGCTGTGCAGCAGGAGGTACCACCCACTCAGTCTCCTGGGGTCCATGCAGACACAGACCAGGTCAGTGACACCCCCTTCCTCTGCTCTCCCTCACCCCACGCTCTGGTCTTGCTCTCCAGCCATCCCTGTGTAGCAGATTAGCTCTGTTTTATCCCCAACCTGTGTCCCTGTGCAGGCAGCAGATTCTGTTCTCTCTTGCCACCCTTTTTTTGTGTTTGCTTTTGCCTCCAGAGATGGAATTAATTTCTGCTTAAAATTTCTGGGGTGAGCCACAGGCTGGATCAATCCCGTCTTCACAGTTTCTCTATTGTCCTTGTGTGAAAAGAATTGTTGAGTTCTATGTCGAGTTTTCAGTCACTTGCAATGAGGAGTCTTTGCTATAGGTAGTATTCCTTCACCCACTTGGTTTGTTTTTGTAAAGATGCCAAAAACCGTACAGGACACAAGGTCTTACCTCCTGCATTCATCTATATGTAAACACAGGGAGCTGCTGTGGCTTCCCATTTCCCTTCTCCTGTCCCAGTCATTTTTGGGATTTCCGGTTACTTAATATTTTTTTCCTCTGGAGCATTTTCTTTGAAGGAAAGTCAGAGGATGGCAGCACCAAAATACAGAGGAACTGGTGAAATCTGAAGGGCTGCAGGCCACAGGTAGATCTGTGGGTCTGCTGAGTGGAAAACCCTGCACAGGGGGAGGAGGCAGCTGGCACAAAAATTGAAAACTGGTCTTTAAAGGGGTAATTCAGTGCTTTTAGAGCTGTGCTAAACTAGGTCCTACCAATGCAAAAGCATGGCAGGCAGGTCTAAAGGCTGTCCCATGCCTCAGGGAATGGCAGTGTCCTCATGTGTCGGTTCAGAAAGTGCCATGAGGTCTTTAACTTCCATCAGAGATGGGGTGGGAGTTCAGGATAATGTTTCCTGGGGAGGGCTGTGCCTCAGCTTTGTCCTGCAGTGTTAGCCAGCTCCCCACATGCAATTTAAACCATGTTGCTTATGTGTTCTCTGCCAAACTTCCAGCAAGTAAAGTATGTAAAGCAAACTGATTCTGTTCTGTATACGTGTTTTTAGGTGCAGAACTTGGCTGTGAGGAGCCAGCAGACCTCAGCTGCTAACGCCCAGCTCCAAGGCTCTGCTCAGAAGGCAGCTCTGCCAGGAAACTCCCAGGCTTCGGGCTTACCGCAGGCCACCAGCACGGGCCAGACCTTGGCAGTGGCTCAGGCCTCCTCTGGCAGCGCAGGCCAGTCCCTCAACTTGAGCCAGGGGTCAGCGGGCAGTAACGGTGTCTCCGGGGGTGTGGTGGCAAGTGGTGGGAGCCAGACCTCAGTGGGATTGAGCCAGACCTCCTCAGCAGGAGCCACAGGCAGTTGCCAAAGGAAAGGCACAGGGGTGGTTCAGCCGTTACCGGTAGCAGCTGCCCAGGCCGTGACTGTCAGCCAGGGAAGCCAGACGGAGACAGAGAATGCAGCCACAAAGAAGGGCGAAACAGACAGTGGTGGACAGCAAACAGTGGGCATGAACCTGACCAGGACTGCTACACCAGCACCCAGCCAGACGCTGATCAGCTCAGGTAAGTGCAGACCTGTCCCTTCTCTGCGAGCCCCCTGGGCTTTCCCAAGAGTGCCACTTGAAAGCCCAATGGTGAGAGGTTTTCCAACATGCCTCCCAGCCTCTGGGCTCCTGGAGGTTTTTCTCTAGGTGTTATCCCTCTCTATTAGCCAGAAAAGTTGATTTAGTCCCTCGTGTCCTCTGCCAGTCAGCTGTTAGTCATTTTGGAGCTTAATGACTCAAACCAGTGCTGTGACTGTCTGCTGTTGTTGTTGTTCCCAGCTGCACTGTTGATAACTTTTGCTCTCTCCCCTTTTCCCACTCTGTGTTTGCACAGCCACATATACTCAGATCCAGCCACACTCGCTGATCCAGCAGCAGCAGCAGATCCACCTGCAGAAGCAGGTGGTGATCCAGCAGCAGATCGCCATTCATCACCAGCAGCAGTTCCAGCATCGCCAGTCCCAGCTCCTCCACACAGCTACCCATCTTCAGCTGGCCCAACAGCAGCAACAGCAGCAAGCACCATCTCTGACCCAACAGCAGCAGCAAGCTCAACCTCCGCAGCAACAGGCTCCACCTCAAAACCAGCAGCAGGCTCAGACCCTTGTGGTACAACCTATGCTGCAGTCCCAACCGCAGCCTGTGCAGCTCCAGCAGGACAGTCCTTGCCAGCCAGCCACCAAGTCACCCATTCCAATTCAGTCAAAATCTCTGGTCACCCCCATCAAACCACCTCAGCTTGGGCCTGCCAAAATGTCGGCAACGCAGCAGCCTCCACCGCACATCCCTGTGCAGGTGGTGGGTACTCGGCAGCAGGGCTCAGGCCAAGCCCAAGCGCTGGGCTTGGCTCAGATTGCTGCAGCAGTGCCGACGTCCCGGGGAATGCCAGCCGTGGTCCAGCCTGTTTCCCAAGCCCATGCTGCTTCCCCATCATCGTCTTCAGCTCCAGCATCCTCACAGGAAGCTCCTCCTCTCACCACAGGGGTGAATTTGGCACAAGTTCAAGGCACAGCCCACATGGTGAAGAGCCCAGCCTCCTCTCCAGTTGTGGCTCAGATGCCAGCAGCATTCTACATGCAGTCTGTCCAGTTGCCAGTAAGTGATACCATTGAGAAGGAGAATAGCATATGGATTCTCTTTGTTCATTCCTAGGACACCAATCGCAGCCCAGGCCCAGGTCAGTGGGATGGGATGGGTAAGGGTTTGGGTAAAGGGATGTGGAGACTTTTTCCTCTCAAAAACACTAATTCCAGTCCAACCCTTTGGGTTACTGACTACAAGCATTTCTTTTCTACGTTATCGTTCAAAGGCTTGCGTGAGGTAAATAGGTGAGACTCAGACCCTGCCCCAAATGGGGTAGGTGTCCACGTCACATACTAAAATATCACATTTAACAGTGTGGCTGTGACCTTGGCTGGCTGCTGGGTGACCACCAAGCTGTTCTATCACTCCTCCTTCACAATAGGACAGGGGGAGAAAAATACAACAAAAAGTTTGTGAGTCAAGATAAGGACAGGGAGATCACTTACCAATTACTGTCACGGGCAAAACAAACTCAGTTTAGGGGAATTAATTTAATTGACAATCAGAGTAGGATAATGAGAAAGAAGAACAAATCTAAAAAACATCTCCCCCACCTTCTTCACAGGTTCATCTTCATTCCAGACTCTCTACCTTCTCCCCTTGAGCAGTGCAGGAGGACAGGGAATGGGGGTTGTGGTCAGTTCATAATGTTTTGTCTCTGCTGCTCCTTTCTCCTCATGCTTTTCCCTTGCTCCAGGGTGGGATCCCTCCTTTAGGAGACAGTCCTTCATAAACTGCTCCATTGTGAGTCCCTCCCACGGGGTGCAGTCCTTCAGGAACAGACTGCTCCAGTGTAGGTCCCCCACGGGGTCACAAGCCCTGCCAGGAGCCTGCTCCAGTGTGGGCTGGCTCTCAGCAGGGTCACTGCTTCCTTCAGGGTACATCCACCTGCTCTGGTGTATGGGCCTCCATGGGTGCAGGGCTCAGCTGTCTCACCACGGGCTTCACCACAGGCTGCAGGGGAACCTCTGCTCTGGCACCTGGAGCATCTCCTCCCCCTCCTTCTCTACTGCCCTTGGTGTCTGCAGAGTTGTTTCTCTCACATATCCTCACTCCTTTCTCCCAGCTGCTGTTGTGCAGTATTTTTTACTCTTTCTTAAATATGTTATCACAGAGGTGTTACCAACATCACTGATGGGCTTGGCCTTGGCTGGTGGCGGGTCCATCTTGGAGCCAGCTGGAACTGGCTCTGTTGGACATGTGGAAGCTTCTGGCATCTTCTCACAGAAGCCCCCCAGCTACTAAAACCTTGCCACATAAACCCAATGCAAACAATAACTGGCTTCTTTGTTGTCTCTCTCAGGAGAGAGATGAGAGCTGAGTGGGCCATGAAGATTGAACTCCCCTCTCCTCGCTGGGTGTGGATACCTCTGGGTCAGAGACCCCTTGCTGTGTGGTAACAGCCACTACTCTAGGCCTGAGGGTCCCCTATGCAGAGGCTACGCAGAAGAACACAAAGATGGCTCATATTCCACAGGCCTCATTCCATGCTGCTTTAAATTGTCCAGCTAGAGCCGGCCTAACTCCCTTGGGACAACAGCACTTTGCCATCTCAGAGTCCCTTAGCCAGTTGCTGTGACTGTTTTCTAAGCTCTGGCTGCTGCTTCAGGGAGGTGTCACAGAATTTGTCTGATTTTTTTTTTTTTTTTTTTTGAGTAGGGGGACAATTCTGTTGTCATCCAACATATGCCCTCTACTCTTTTTGACTCTCCTCCATCAAAACTGATCTGATTTAGCCAAAAGTCTGTTTGGAAACTGCTGGGTGACTGCCATTCCACTTCTTCCTGGAATAATCCTTTATGGTTCACACAGTGTCTTGCTATTATTATTATATCAATGGATCAAAGTGAATTGGGACACCAGATCCTAGTCACAGTGGCATGGTAGTGAGTCTTCTGGAGTTTTGCTCCCTGCTAGGCACATGCTCCTAAGTAGAGATATGTACTGTGAGGGAGCTAGAGGAATTTTCCAGGAGAAGGAACAAGGCTGGAAATGATGTACAATGGAGCAAAATGCATCTTCCTTCTGCTTTTGATCTGTCTTGTTCTTTGCTTTGGAGCTTCTCTCTGCTTAAGTGTTCCTCTTTACTCACACAGGGCAAGTCTCAGACCTTATCAGTAAAGCGCAAGGCAGAGTCAGAGGAGGAGAAGGAGGAGTCACCTGGTGTCAGTGCACTCCTGCCTGCCAGGTCCTCTCCTGTGACAGACAGCCCCAAAAACATGGAGGAGAAGAGTGGCCTTGGAGGTGAGGTACAAAGAAGACCTCTGCTTGTGTGTGCTAATGGTCTGATCTTTTATTCTGTTTGAAGTAGATGGAGCAAAGGTAACTGACTCTTGTGCTGTTAACTTCCCAGATAAATCTGATCCTGCTGCTGTTGCAACCCCAAATACTGCCTCAAGTGAAGGAGGATCAGTCACCCCCACCTCTGCTCCCACCCCAAACCTGGCAATGGTGTCACGTCAGATGGGAGACTCCAAACCCCCACAAGCCATTGTCAAGCCCCAGATCCTGACACACATCATTGAAGGCTTTGTTATCCAGGAAGGAGCAGAGCCCTTTCCGGTAGGGATTATCTGCTGTGGGGGAAGATGTAGTGCTCTTTTGGGAAGGCGGTGAGCTTCCAGCTTTGGACAGGAGTTTCTTTCCCCATATTCCAACTCAGCATTTTTAGCCTGAGACACAGACAGTGAAGAGGAAGGGAAAGGAGGGAGGTGCCACACATGAAGCAAGGCATTAATAAGTGGTGGCATTAAAGAGAGTGGGTTGGAAGGAGTAAAACAGGTGTGATGGGAACTGTTTTCTCCAGTAGTCCTCAAAGTGATAATTTATGCAGGAGTTGTAAGAAGGTTCTTCCTTCTGATTTTTAGTGAGGAAAAGATGTGCTGCATTTTGAACAAGCAGTGAGTGAAGTTAAAGCAAATACGGGGAAATGCAGCTACATGGAATTGGAGGATATTCAAGGCAGATAACACTTGGTGATCTTTGAATGAACCAAGCCTGTGAGTCAGGAAGGAGTAATAACTGCTCAGCATCTCTCCTTCCCTAGTAGGCAGAGGGTTTCTTCTGAGCTGTAATAAGGTGTGAGCAGCATCACACCTTGGAGAGGGTGGTGGACACAGCCAGTCCTTTACTGATGGCCCAACTCCTTCTCTTCCTGTCTAGGTGGGTTGTTCTCAGCTGCTGAAAGAATCTGAGAAGCCACTGCAGGGAGAGGCTCCTTCTGGCCAGAGTGAAAACCTGTCCAGCAATTCTCCGGGAGGGGACAGTGCTTCTATGGGTGAGTTACGGCACCAAGAGGCCTAACTAGTGTTACTGAAAGCTTCTGCTCTGTGATAACTGTATCTAACTTTATACATTATGGGCTTGTATCTCTTCCTGCTAACTCCTTAAGAGACCCAAACTGTGGACCTAGGATCTTCTTGTCTTGAGTACCATAGGACAATATTTTTATGTTGTTAATATGATCTAACACACCCTGTGTCAGTAGTAAGCAGGAGAATTCAAACTGTACCTGTCTCTAATGACCCTGAAGGCTGCGAAGGATGCGTGGACACAGCAGAGAGTGCAGTGATGGGACATTTCCCACACGGCCTTGTAGGATATGAGGGATATGCTATTTTTTTGCTTCTCAGTATTGTTTCAATGAACAAGGAGAAATAAACTGCTTTGTTCAATATCCTGGCATCCTAATTAGTAGAGCTTCTGCCTCTCTTTCCTCAGCTTCTTCCCCAAGCTAACTGCTTAGTAGATTCAGTAGAAAACAGTGCTTGGAATATGTCTGCTCAGAAGAGTAGTGGAATGGAGAATTGTGTGATCTGCTTCAGATCATCAACTGGTGTATATTTCTGTGTTTCACTAGAGCTTGATAAGAAGGCAAACTTGCTCAAATGTGAATACTGTGGAAAGTATGCCCCAGCAACTCAGTTCCGTGGCTCCAAGAGGTTTTGTTCCATGACCTGTGCTAAAAGGTAATAGTAAGACATAATCTTTGTTTTCTCTGACTAAACATTCTCTAGAACTGGGCATGTGCCCTTTCTCCTGGTAGTGTAGAACACTTTAGAACATCTGATCCTCCCTCCATGGGATGCACTGGCCACAGAGATCCTTTAGGACTCTAAATGATTTGTGAATGCTTCTAAGTCTGGAGGGGTGGATGTGGTGTTTGAGTGTAAACAGGACTTCTGACTTGCACAGAAAACGAAGTGGAAGTTCTGGGGCTCCAAAGAACTTCTTGACTGACTAAAAGAATGTGTTCTGGTGGCTGTCTGCTGCATTGGTACTAGACAAAGACACAATGGGAGCATTGGGGAGAAGTTAGACTAGTCATTGCTGCTTCCTATTGGTACAGAGTGCTTGTTATGGGTCTTCTTTCCCTCAGGGGAATGACTTAATTGACCCTTTAGACGTTACATCAAGACTCTGGTGTCCAAATATTGCTTGTGTCTGAAGTCTGGACCTGGTTCCTTCCAATGGGAAGTCTTAGAAGGAGGGGGAACAGAACTTGATGTTAAAGAGGAGTTTTATCCCCATCTAGAGGAAGAAGCAGTAGGTTTTGATAGTTGCCATTTCCTAACTGCTGCTCTGCTTCTACTTATTTAAGGTACAATGTTAGCTGCAGCCATCAGTTTCGGCTGCAGAGAAAGAAGATGAAGGAATTCCAGGAAGCTAACTACGCGCGTGTGCGCCGACGGGGACCACGGCGCAGCAGCTCTGAAATTGCTCGAACAAAGATCCAGGGCAAGCGCCACAGGGTAAGGATATAGTCAAGGCAGGGGTCAAAGCTCTCACTGCTGGATGTGCTACTTTCTTGTAATGTAGTCATACAGGGTACGTCAGGTGCACACTGACAGTTGTTGCACAGGGCATGGGGAGCTGTTCTAATGGCTCATCAGCTGCAGAACGCGGGTTCATGTTTGTATTTGTTCTGTTTGTTTGCTCCTGTGTGTGTCTTAGAGGTCTCAGTGAGTGAGATCAGCTGACACACTTTGTAGAAAACAATTCACTTTTCCCATATGATTAGTGTTCTTCCACATGAATGATTCCAATCAGATTATAGAAGCATCAAATGAGCTTCAGTGGTGATGTGAGGAATGGACTGGGGGAGAATGGGGAGAAGGAAGAGGGAGGGTAAAGTCTCCACTTTCTGGCATCAGGGAGCTCTTGTGTCAGCTGCTTCTGGACCAACAGCCTGAGACAATTGTCCCAGATCATTGGGATGACTTCTGCTGTTCTCAGTGTCTTGGTTTTGCATCTAGTAGATGTGAATTTCTGGCAAAACACCTTTTGTTTCCTTTCTTTCCTATGGGCTTGTAGGGCCAGGAAGACTCGAGTCGAGGCTCTGATAACTCCAGCTATGATGAAGCTTTGTCCCCTACATCTCCAGGGCCCCTGTCAGTAAGGGCCAGTCATGGAGAGAGGGACCTGTCAAACTCTAGTATGGCCCCACCTACCCCAGATCTACACGGCATCAACCCAGTCTTCCTGTCCAGCAATCCCAGCCGCTGGAGTGTGGAGGAAGTGTATGAGTTCATTGCATCACTGCAAGGTGAAGTTAAGATCCTCTCCTGCACTCCTGTATTCCGGTAGCATGGGGTAATTTGTTGGTTCTCTTTCTGAGAAGAAAGTGGTGTCTAATGCTTTTATTGTACTTTTGTACATGTTTCTGAATTGGAGTGGGTGATACTGATGCTTTATTTCTCAAGCAGCCTGTGTCCTCAGGCAGACTGGGGACTAGAGTGGGGAGGGGGGTCAGTTAGACTCCTAGCTTGCCTCCCGTACTTGCCAGAGGCCTGAAGAGTGGGAACAAGGGCAGTGCCCAGGGCACATCTGTTTCTCAGTGCTGGTTTTTGGTTTCACAGGATGCCAGGAAATTGCTGAGGAGTTTCGGTCACAGGAAATTGATGGCCAGGCCCTGTTGCTTCTGAAGGAGGAACACCTCATGAGTGCCATGAACATCAAGCTGGGACCAGCTCTCAAGATCTGTGCCAAGATCAATGTCCTCAAGGAGACCTAACAGCTCTGAAGCCAGAGGTCTCACTTCTGCTCTGACCCCAGGGTCGCAGGGCAGCTGCTAGCTTTGGAGCATCCTGCTGGGGCAGGGAAGAATGGGACAGTCCCCTGTGGTCTTGCATTCAAGAATGAGATAACTGATTGAAACTGCCATGCACAAGCCCATGTCTTGGTCTCTTAATGGTGCTACAAGGGGGAGGAAAACTCCTACCTGGGGCCTTGAAACATCTTTCCCTCTTCCTGATTTGAATATGCCTCTCCCGTATCCCACATGAAGATGTGAAAGGGAACTCCTCCTGTCTTAGCAGACTTCTGAAAGGGAACTGCTCTCACCCTTTTTTGCTACAGCAGGTCTGCTAGATCTTAGTTTTGAATCTCACTGTGCCAGAACTTGAGGCATAGGAAGAGTCAGCCCCACACGGACATTGGGAGCAGCTGTGCCTGGGGCATTTAGGAAGGGGAACTAGTAAATTCCAAGTGACAAAGGTGGACAAACGAGAGTTTGAGCAAAAGGGGCTGCTGCTGTTCCACTCTTAAATACCCAGACTGCTCATGAACTGGGTTGAATAGCCATTCCAGCATGCATACCAAACCTGAAGGCCTGTGGCAATAGGAGCTGCCTTAGCTTTACTGTCTCCTGTAGAGAATGCGGACTGAGGACAAAGTGTTGCGGCAGCTATCCACTTCAGATACTCCTCTCTGAACCAGTCAGAGGAGGGTTTATCCTGAGTACTTATGACAAGGTGATGGGAAAATTGATGGGGAGGGGGATTGTCTTACATTAGGGAACCCTGCAGCACTAGGTTTGTCTCCCCATTGTGCTAGGGTGTAATTTACAGATCCAAAGCAGTCTCCAGAAGCGCCAAGGCTCTTCATAAAATGGGCTGGGGTTTTGGTTTTTTTGTGTTCTTTTATCAGTTTGTATTATTTCTGTGTCTGTCTTCATTATCCTCAGGAGAGCTTACGGGACAAAGTTTAAGCTGGCAGGATTGTATTGCCTGCCTTTTTTTTTTTTTTTTTTGTTGGTGTTGTAAAACAAATATTTCTCTTCTTCAGTTGAAAAAAAACAAAAAAAACAGAATCACACCCTCCAACAACTGAATACTGATCCTTTCATGTCACTTCTCCCTTCCAAGGGGTAGAATCATGTTAAAGTCCCTCCCTTGCAGCCCCTCCAGGTTGGTTGGGTTTTTTTAAGGACCAAATGTGTTATTCTGAAGTTTTGTAACCAGATTGCCAAAGGTGAAAAACCTGGTCAGAGTTCTCTTCCAGAAGCACCTCTGCTTCAAACAAACAGGCAAAAAAACCCTGAAGACATTGCATGAGGAGGCAAGTGCCCCCTAGAGCCGAAAAGCTGAAAGCAAGATGATTTTATAAACCGTGTGTCTCAGCTTTTCTGTTTTCAGAAGTTTCACTTCTGTTCACAAAACATAAGACAGTTTTGTGTGGAAGGCACCTACTGTTGTAGGAGAGCTGTAGTGGTATGGGAGGAGGACTAATAACACAGCTAGGAAAACATTGGAGATCTTTGGAATGGGCTCTTTATTGACCCATGTTAAAGAGAGGAGGGAAGGTGCTTAGAAGGTGGATAAAATGTGGCAGCAGCTTCCTAGTCTGAACTGTACTGTTGAGTCCCACTTTAATGACATCATTGGCCCTGAGAGAATTATGGGGCTTCAAAAAAAAAAAAAAGGCACAAAGGAAGCTGTCCATGCTTATACCCCAGTAACACTACTTGGTCTGATGTAATTTGGGGGCAGGGAGCAGGGAGGTTACAATCTCTAGCAGCAATCAGCAGAGGAAGGCTGCCCTTAAACCATTTTATCTGTAGCAGGCTGGGTGTGGAAAACTCCTGTTTAGTTTGACCCATGGCAGGGTCAGCAGGCAGCTAGCCTGCCTATGGTACTAGCTACTTCTGAGGACCAGATTTTATTTCAAAGGGGAAGGCTTCACTTCTTCCTTTCATGTTCAGTGTTCTTAATAAAAAAATGCTTGTTCAGGCTTTGCAAGTCTGGCTACTTTTTAATCCCCCCTCCACAACCTGAACATAAATGTAGTGTTTGAGAACTACAACTGTCATAAAAAAGTTCCTTCTGATTTTTATTGTTGCAGAAATACAGAGTATAGGAAACTTCTTATCCATGACTACCTGAGCTTTTAAAGTTCCAGTTTTGAAAGATGTGTATACCCCTCCATCTTAAGCCCCAAAGACACACAAAGTGGCAGCAAAACCCATGTATTAACAAGAAGAGACCTTCTTCCTGGCAAGAGTATTTCAGGCACAAGGCACCATGCACTAAGGACCCTTCACCTTTGGGTAAATGAGATGGTCTGGCACCAAAGAAAGCTCCTGTTACATCAGCACACTGCTTTACCGTGTTTTTTGGTCGTTTTATTTTTGAAAGTTGTGTTTTGTACAAAAAAAATTCCTTAAACACCACCATGAAAAACAGTAACAACAGACTTGGTGACTTCCTCTTTTTCCCCATGTTATGAGAAAAATTGAGACCATAACAAAAGTCAAAAAGCAGGAATTGTTTGCCCGCTCTAAACCCAGCAAGAAAGCAGGGCCATCCCTTTTCCCTCTGCATCACTGTTCAGATTCCTTTGGCAGTACTAAAAACATCCCAACCTTGTCTGTCCTCTGCTGTTAACAGTAGTGGCTTGCTTATTCACAGTCTCTGCCAGTCTACACTAGGGCAGAATGGGATTGCTTAGAGTCTAGCCCCTCAAATAAAAAGCAACTAAGAATCAAGGTGCTAAGTTCCTGAAGGTTCCCATCAAGCCTCATGACTCAGCTGTACCTGCTTTTCATCAGAGCCCCAGGAGAAGGTCGTTCTCACTCCCAGCCAGTAGCAGTATGCAAGTACCATCTGCACAGGGCAAATACCTTAAGACTGGCCTGTACCATTCTTAAGTGGACAGCTTATGAAAGCAGGAGTCCTTTACACAGGCTTCTGTGGTTCCTTTTTTATAAAAATAAATGTCAGGGGAAAAGCCTCTGCCAAGCAAGGAACTTTTGGAGAGCATGAAATCACAATGCTGACAGTGACGGAGCTGTGTGGGCAGTCACCTCAGGAAGCTTGTAACAGAACTCATGGGGCAGCTACCTGTCTTGTTTTGCCTTGACATCAGTTCCAGTCTCAGCAGATGTTTCCTTAGCAGCACATAATTTCCTTTGGCTTCTCCATGATTGAGAAGACTTGAGACAATATCTTTGCTGAACTGGAAAGTCACAAGACCATATTAAACTCCTGTAGTTTTTTAGCATTGCTCCTCTCCAGTGTGAGAGGATAGCATGCATCCCTTTACATCTGTTGAAGGAAACGGGTGTGTTACCTTCAACATATTGCCATTAGGAGAAGAAAAGACTGCAGAGGTGCTAATGCCTCTTCCACCCCCACGGAGTCTGGCATAGAGCACTCTGTGCAGGTTATGCTGGCAGAAACAGCGTGTAACAGTGCAGAAGCTAGAAAAGCTGAAAATGCATTCAAAGAAAAATAATTCCAGTGTCTTACAGATCCTGTAAACCCTAGGGGAAAGAGAAAAAAAAAAAAAAAGATACGAAAGATCCCTCCTACAGTCTCAGCTGTTTTAACCCATGGCCTCCTTTTCCTTTCCCATTCTGCACCCATCCATGGCCCTTCTTTGCCTCTCAGTGATTCATCTCCCATTCCTCCTCAGTGCTGAATGCTAATACTGCTTGCTTTCTGTCTTCTGCTCGACTCTCAGCACTTCTCCTCCCCTCCAGCTCTGCTGCGCTTTTAAAAACTTAAGACAGCGTTATAGCACAAGACATGCCATCAGGGACCAGTGCTGTTCACACCCAGAGGCATCCATGGGACTTGACACACCGGAGACAGCAAAAGCAAACAGCATAAAGAAAATCAGAAGTAAGAGAAGGAGAACTGGCTGGGAGACACCCGGCTAAACAAGCACTGGGAGATGGGGAGAAAAGAACTCAGTGCTGAAAGCCTATCACATCGGTAGCAAGTGGTCATCCCGTTCTTCCGACTCCTCACCCAGCTGGTCATCGCCCACACCACGGTACGCAGCTGGTGCATTTCGGGGCTTAGATCGGCAGACAAAGTCACAGCCATCCTGCAAGCACAGGGTATCGCACCAGAGTCAGACACTATGCAATTGACTCAGCATCCAAAGCAAAGCAGCTTCTGTCATTTCTCTTTTTGTTATGGGCTTATGGCTAGCTCTGTGCTAGCCATGTGGGACAGGTCCCCAAAACTTGTCTTGACAAGAGAAGCATGCATACAAACATTCCGCTCGGTCTTGAGAGTTCTGGGCATACTGATTAATGAAGCATGAAGCAACATAAGACCAAGAAGAGCATGGAGGATAAACAGCACTGCCAACAGTGACCAAGAAAGGGTTCCAGGGAGTCACGTGAACATTTCACAGTCCCTAGCTTAACATTTCTACCAGAAAAGTATCATCTACTACTGAGCATGTGTTTAGTTTGTTATGTAGCAGTTGCAGGATATTAGCAGGGAATCAGTCTCAGAAAGGATTCAAAAATACTCAAGGGAAAAAAAAAACCCACACAAAAACACAGCCTCTTCTTCTACCTCAAGGTATACTACCCTGGTGGCATGTCTACCCAGCATACATAGTCCACAAAGACAAGGCAGATGCCATTTTCTTCTGTCCTAATATATGGATCAGGCTGCAAACATACAGGGACTTTTCACTCACCGCCACCAAATTGCCCAGATCTTGCCAGAAGGCAAAGTGAGGAAACTGTTCCATGCCTTTTGCTCCCACTACAAGGCGCTGGTAGAGGAACCCACCAATGATGTAGACTGCAATCAGTGAAGCAAACCTGGAGGGAAGAATTAAAAATCAAAAAGCTGAGGAAATCCTATAGACAACCTCTTCCGAGCCAGCTACCTGCCTCAGATTAGTATTGGAGCAAGTAGATGAACACCACTCATGAACAGAGCTATAAACAGAGACCAGACCAGAAAAGATCCTCAAAATATTGATTTGCTAGTATAAATCTTTCAGCAGCATTACACAAAGTAGTGTCTCTAAGTGCAAACACAAAAAAAACGAGTCAAGACTTCTGGTCTGAATTCCCAGCTCTGGCCAAGAGTTGTACAATTTTAGGAAGTCATATCTTCCATGTTTCAGTGCACTTGTCTGTAAACTATGAAGGAAGATATCTACAGGGAATGAGCAGCTCTGCAGCATCAAGTCTTGAGCAAGAGCTTTAGTCCAAAAAGCTCAGAGGCCTGGTAACATCTAACAGTGGCTGTGGATAGGTACATACAATTATCTAATCTAGTATAGCATTTGCTGTGTTTCTAAATGGCACCAATTATGGCCCAGACATGAACAGCTCTTCAAATGACTCACGTGATCAGCAGAATGGAGCCAACGCTGAGATGGGAATCCTCAGCTGGACAAGCCACACTGCTGTCCATCTCAAAGAGGTAGAAACAATCCTGCTCCTTTTCCCGCTCTTCTGAAATAATGCTGAATGAACTCTGCAATTTGGGAGAAGTCATGTGAAAATACACCCAGGCATGATGAACTTCACCAGAAGACAGTTTTATCACTGTTGGTGCAGCTCAGCAACAGACACTGGAGGACAGAAGAAAATCTACTGCCTCCTCAAAGCCCTTCTGCTTAGAAACAACCGTTTGTGTGGCAGCCTCCTGCTCCTCTCCCACCTCATGTGTCACTCACCGCTGTAACTCCCTGCTTGCAAGAAATCATTATCACAGCTCTTCTCTTCTCACCACTGCAGTGCCTGCCGTATGAATCACCCCCTTTATAAATCAGCATGATCCAGTCACCTGCCAAGAAAGAAACAATACAGGCTGCAAATCCAGATCAGGAGGTGAAAGGTAAATACTGAGTAAGAAAAGTACTGAGTGGAATCTTACTTCCATTGAAGACCTGGGTTTCATTGATTCTTCCTATCACTGTAGTCTTTCCATTCTGTCTATCTGTTTGCACCAGGCCGCCAAAATCATGCAAGGTGCTATTGACCTCCCTACACACCCTGAAACTGTAGACGTAGTTTTCTGTTTTGCCTTTCTCCACAGTCACGTTAAACCTGCAGCAGGGAGAGGACAGCACAGACAGACCATAAGATTACGAAGAACAAGGCTCAGAGCAGCGGACACTTAAGACCCGGAAGCCAGTCACAGCCCAAACTAATGGGGGAGCTCATTCTGGCTGTCTGGCCCCAAATCTCCCCCTCCCCTTGTCCTGAGGGTAGGCACTGCGCAGCCCCGAGGCCTACAGGGTGTTGTACTGTACCTCATTTCACTCAGGGGCTCTAGTTTCTTCAGCAGGGCTCTTTCCATTTGCGACTCGCTGCTTTCATCACCAATCACATCACAGCTCCTCTCTTTTGGCTGTTCAGCCCCCAGATGGACAGCGAGGGCCATAAAGACTAGCAGCACAGCAGAGGTATGGCAAGGTGATGACATCCTAGACACACACCACAGAGAACATGGAGGATTTACTGTTTCTGCCCCCTGTAAACTAACTTCAGCAATGACTGAACTCTTGCTCATCCTGACTGCAAAAAGGAGAAGTCAAAATCTAGAAACATCTCAGAGCTTCCAAGAGGGACTTAAATCTGAATTTCTTGCACAGTCAAAGACAATTCACTGGGCCGATCTGGGATTCTTTTCCAAATTTTGCCTTGGGACCACAAAAAGTTTTGATGTCAAGCACATTAATTAGCATTGATTCAGCCACAGCAGAGCCCAGCAGCCTGAACACTGGAGTAAGTTGCCATCACTCATTATTGCATTGCACTGAGAAGCCAGTCAGCAGAAAATTATTTACCAGGCCTCTTTCGCAGCTCTCTTGTGAAGAGCTTGCAGGGAAGAGCCACTGTGATTAGCCAGGATCTGTTTGTTCAAGTGCCTTAATCTTAATAATTATGTTATCTTTCTAGTACTACTTCAGCTGAGAATCTGTAAGTGTTTAACAATGCTAAGCTGCAACTTCACAGAACGTTTTCTTCTCTTTACACAGGGGAAGAAAGAAACCAAGACATCCTTTGTAAGATCCAACCAAAGAGGTAATAATGAAGATAATACCAAAATCTAGAAGATTTGGCTTTCAGGTTCATGCTAAAAATCACAGATGAAACACTCGATGATTGCACCAGCCAACCACAGTGGTGCAACAGATTCCTCTCTGCTTCCCCCATCGCAGATTTCGGAAAAGCCGGCACAAGGCGACCGAAAGACCCGCAATAAAACAAGAGCCTGCCAAGGGGACTGAACCTAACAATCACCCCCAGTCCCCGGGGTGTCCACCGTGGCAGTTTACAGCTGCCAAGGCAGCTCTGGGCGCCGCAGAGGTCAGATGCAAATGAGACGAGGTGCGATGTGCTGAAATGAGGAAGCGAGTGACACAAGAACTCGTGATTCCTCTCTCAGAGGGCCAAAAGCGGAACCCTGCCTTTCGCACCGGCCACGGCTTCTCTGGGAAACTCGCCGGCAGGCGCTTCGCTCACACAAAGTAAAAAGCGATGCGGCTCTTCCCTTCCGCGCGGCCGGTTACCGCCCCGGCTGGCGATTCGGCGGCCGCCTGCC